GCCTCATGGAGGCCGTCACCACTGCAAGACCCAACCAGCACGTCATCCACTTAACCACGGAGGCCGCCGCCCCATCGCCCAACTCCTGCGGCGCCATCAGACGATGCCACATCAAGCAAGAACACAGCCGCCAAACCGGCTGCAGGCTACTGTGCTGCCACGCAACAACAATCGCCGGGGGCGACAAGAGGAGAGAGAAGGCTTTTTGGCCCGATCCTCCGGAAACCTTAATTTGTGGAGAGAATTTCACTTCTCGGCCTCTGCACCAACTAGGGATGCACACACCCTTTTTAGTATGAGTACCAAGATTTTTATCTTGAAGTGTAGTCTCACCACATATCAAGCACGGTCCTCAAACATATTATTTGTGAGTACCAAGATTTTAGCTTGATGAGTGGCCACACATTAAGCTTGGTCGAAACCCTTGTGCATCACCTGTCAATTCTAGGAATTGAACCCGGCTGGTTAGACTGATACCTAACAATCGAGATAAGGCTCTCATTGCAGGCAGCCTTTGCATGTGACGCAAGTTTAAGAGGCCACATGTCAGTTCATACTCTCATTGATCCAAGTCCAGAATCATGTTCCCCGCAAAAAAAGAAAAAGAAAGTCCCAAGTTCACGGGTAGTTTTCACCAAGAACTCCAAGCACACATCGCACCTTCTGTCCGTCCCCTTTTGGGGCAAGCAGAGCATACAGCGTCACACCAAACAGCTGGCAAGCAAAGCATTCTTTCCCAGCCGGTAAAGTTCCATGGAAGACGCGAGCATGTGCACAGCAAGTCATTCCGAAGCATAGCATATGCAAAAAAATCTGACTCTTGACACAAGGTCATGTCATGCATGTCCTGGAAGGAAGCGCAGAAATCCAGGCCAAAAGAAGCAAGCAAAGCGAGAAAGGAGCAAGACCTGCGCTGCATGAGGTGGGGGGATCCTTCTGCAGATCCTTGAGCTCCTTCTGTATCCTCTTGGACGCCATCGCGCCCTCCCTCGCCCTCCTGTTTTCACCCCCAAGAGCCAGAAGAAGAGAGAAACCATCAAATCTGCTGCCATGAACAGGTTAGCACACATCACAAAGAGGAACTGGAACGGAACAAACCTCTGGCCTGATCTCCTCTCTGCCTCCTGCTTCCGCTTCTCCGCCCCCCTCCTCGCAAGAACCAATAATGGGATGGAACTGGGGAAAGGGGCCAGGAGCAGCAGGGCTATATATGTAAATGGGCCTCCCTCCCTTTGCTCGCTGTCTGTCTTGATGCAGGTTTGCGTGCTGGTTTTATTTATTCGTTTCCGTCGAATCGTCCTTCAATGCGGTTGGGACCTGCCTGCTTACTTTTTAGTGGAGCGGTGCCATGGCTGATCAGATCAAATGCCCCATCCATCCATCCGCTGCACTTGCACTGACCCCCTTTCGTATTAGTGGCTGCTGATGAACAGGGTTATATTCTCCCTTCTTTTCTTCTATCAACGCCAATAAATTAATGGATGGAGAGAACTGACGTGGAGTGAAACTGACGGAAAGGCAGCCGCGTTCCCTCCTGGGATATAATAACCGTGAATTTGAAAAATAAAGAATCTACAGATTCTGGTGGGAGGCCCTGCCGACTGATTGATTCCTCGTGGCCTACATGTCAGTGACGGGGCGAGAGAATCCAATTCATGCAGCCCAAGTGGACATGAGTGGAACCCGGCTTTTGTTTGGGTGGCTGATTGCCTCACAGCTGAGAGCATCTCCAACAGATGGCCCCAAACGACGCGCGCACGGTAAATCCAGCTTTTAGCGCGCGCGGGATGGTTTGCCGCGCTCCAGCGGCCGCGGAAAACAAGTGCGCGCGGGAACTGTTTGCGCGCGCGAGAAAAGGCGCCAGCTCGGGCGCAAGATTTGGCGCATCGCTTCGCGCGCGCCTATAAAAGCTGCGAGCGTCACGCGCCTTCTTCACACACATCTCTTCCCCTCTCCCTCTCCCTCTCTGCCACGCGCCGCTCCAGCGCCCCGCCACCGACGCGCCGCCATGCCGCCGCGCCGCCGAGGAGCGTCCGGCTACCGCGGCGTCCGCCTGCGGCCCAACGGCAGCTACACCGCGGAGATACGCTCCGGCGAACTCCGGCTCGCCCTCGGCCGTACGGGACGGCGCGACAGGCCGCCCGCGCGTACGACGCGGCGGCGTGGCGCCTAGGCCAGCCGCACGGCCAGATGAACTTTCAAGATGTGTACACGCTCGAGCAAGCGCTCAACCTCGCCCCTCTGCCTCGTCTGAACACGGCGGAAGACCGTGCGGAGCACGCCGAGCGGCAACGCCGCCTCCTCGTCGCCCAGGAGGACGAGCGGGTCATGGCGGACTGGCGCCAGCGCCACCCGGAGGACGTCGCCTACGAGCAAGCCTACTGGGCAAGGCGCCGCGAGGAGGACACGCGAAGGCGCCGCGCGTCGCGGTTGGACAGGCGTCGGCGGAAGGCGTTGGCAAATGCGCAGTCCGACCTCGTTGCAGCAGGTGGGCGGTCGTTCTTCACGCCGAACGATGAGCGGTGGCTGGACATCTGGCTAACTACCTCGGACGACACCGCCGAGGATGATAGTGGTGATGATGATAGCGACTTGGAGTAGTTTTTTTTGTTAATGCAATATATGTTTATCGTTTGTCGTTTTTATTTTATGCAATCTATGTTTCGGATGTAAAATACCTTTGTATTGTTTAATCTATGCAATCTATATAGTTTTTTAAAAAAAATCTACTTTCAAAAATGCATAAATTTCTAGTCGCGCGCGCTGCATTTTAGCGCGCTGCTGGAGCGGCGCGCGCGCTGCTGGAGCGGGCGCAGCGCGCCGCGCCAAACCAGGCGATGGGCGCGCGCTAAAGCTGTTTTTTACGCGCGCCGCGTTCGGCGTCTGTGGGAGATGCTCTGATAGTGATGCTAACGCTAACGCAAGAAAGCTACTCTCTGCTAACAGCACGGTTCAATGAAGGTTCTGGTGTGAGATGAGAGAGGAGAAACGGTTCAAAACAGGTACTCCCTCCGTCCGAAAATACTTGTCGTTCCAGATACATTCTTTTTTATCCATTTTGATGACAAGAATTTTCGGACGGAGGGAATGCGTATTTACGTGCGTCACAAGGATCTACGGGAATTGAACTGCAATGTGCAAGAAACAGACATTAATTTCTACAATGCGTTCCTTTCTTCCACATGAAGCGTGCTTTCTTGATAAGCTTACTTTTCCTGTTCAAATTCCTTCCATTTCTAACAAGCCATATACTATCAAACAACCCTTGCTTCTGAACATATGCTGAGACACTAGTTGAGCCTTATGAGACACACAACATGCAGTTTTATAGGTATATATGCTGAAGATGAATAGAAGGCTAATTACAACAGTCTGGGAAATATGAATACGGCAAATAAATACCGAGGTTTGAATGATGCCGATAAATACGGCGGAAGGATGTGATCAGTGTACGGGTAGAAGAGGTGTATCATGTTCAAGGACACCGATCGATATTATTCATCTGTTAGTTGGGGGCTAGTACACAAAGTTTAAACAGAAAATTTGACGCCTTCATCGTCTGCTGAACTGCCCTTAAAGATAACTGCCTTTCCCTTTTGTTCCAGCAGCCTCAAAGCTCGCATGAGGACCCCACGATCAATTCCCGCAAGTTCTGCAACAGACGCCACAGGATAGAATGATTCAAACTAGCCACAATACTAACAGAACTTTTATTATGAGCAAGCGGCATGGCCTATGTATTACTTTTCTTTTCTTTTTTGCGAATTATGGCCTATGCATTACTCACGAGGCACCAGCACCAACTTATGTCACGGCCTAAGCTCCGGAGAGCGTAGCTGTGCAGGGGAGGTTGCATCATGGCGTGATAGCAGCTGGAATAGGGTTTTCGGAGGATAACCTCTGGTTTATTCATTCATCATATATAACACAGATTATCCCTAGCGTTATAGAATAGCCACTCCTAAAAGGAAAAGTGTAACTGCACAATTCCAATAGATTCTTATCCAAACTAACCAACTTAGGGAATCAAGAAAAAAGAACTTATCAGCCTAGGCTTAGCCAGACGGCTCTCCTCCTGAGGCTTGTGCCCACTGTAATACCAAGCCCACATGACAAGTTGGGTAAACATGGAAATATGTATCCAACAGCTAGCTAAGTTTAAATCCTACATGTATTTTACCGTTTCTACCACAAATTGCTTCGAAGCAAGAAAATAAGCTTAGCCCAGGGCCGGGCCGGCAAAATCAGGGGCCCTGTGCCAAACTCTAAGACGGGCCTACCTTGCTATAGAAAAACATCTGTTTCACTTATGGCACCTAATTGAGTCACCGTTCAGCTACGTGCATAAATGGTATTTTGAGGTGTTTTCCCTTTTTTTGGGGGGAGTTATTCTCCTCAATTGCCCTAATATTAATTCTTTTTTAGTATGACTAAAAATTCAAAGATGTTTTCTCATTATACGTCAAATGATTGGAACTAAGGCATTTTGGGATGTATGGATCCATTAAATAAAAATGCCTCCAAGCATCAACTAAATGAGGTATTTTGAAAAAATATTTTCACAAATGGCAGGAAGCCTACAGTTGGGTAGCTTATATAGAAATCACAGTAGTGTAATAAATGCCTTTTGATTTCAACCTCTAACGCAAAGTTTCAACTGTCTACTAGGTCGCCGCAAGTTTCTTACAGCGAGATATCGCCAGTTCGAATCCCAATAGTGGTGAATAAATGTATACTTTTTTTTTGAGAAATTAACGTAAACTCTTTTCTGAGCGGTCGGCCTTTGGCCTGTTTTCTGCTGTGAGTCTGTGATGTTGGCGTGCTTAACGGGCTTATGGGTTGCTTCGAAATTCGGGGCCCCTGTAAAGTTGGGGCCCTGTGCGGGCGCACAGGCTGCACCTGCTTCTGGCCCGGGCCTGGCTTAGCCTGACGGAAATATTGAAAATGGAAAATCTAATCTTGTTGGCTAAAGGGGGGAGAATCCCCTCCATTAACTGTGTGTTCGTTTAGATAGAAATGAGCCTTCCGCAGATCGAACGCGAGTGGGTGGCATTACACCATAAGCTCCAAGCCAACCGAGCTAGCGCTCAGTTCTCAATGGAAAATCTAATCTCATCACCATGAAGTTTGGTATGCTTACCGGTCCCATGCGTTTCAATTCCAGAGCGTATATCTTCAATTGTTGTTACTTCCAACCCATTTTCCTTTACCTACAAGCATAACACAGAGATAAATATCAAGTCACTGCCACTACTCATTGATAAATTGATAGCTTCGAAAGACACGTGTTTAATAGAATACAAAGTCTTACGAAGTCTAGTATGTAGTTAGCCCAATCTTGAATCCGCAGCCAAAGAATGAGACACTTCTTGTGACTTTTGTCAATCCACTCTGCACGCCCTGCAGTTTGATCTTGGCTTCAAGTAGTTGCACACAGGCCAGGGGTAATAAAGGCATCAATTACCTAGAAAAACAAAACTACACACAGCTACAACAATAACTAAAAGATTTAATGTTGTGCAGAATAAACCTTCACTAACAAGAGCTGCAAGGAACACTTCCTTTGCTTCATAGCTTAGAGATCCTGAAAGCATGCAAGTTCAGTGCAACGTCAATAGGAATGTACAAATGCATTGTAAACTCGTCGAGTGAATAAAATGTTCATGTATACACTAGTCCGGCATGCTCAAAAGGCTCCATAGTAGGCCTTAGGAACACATTACCATCATGCCAGATCACTATGTCGTAACACTTTCAACACAGTAAGACATATTTTTTGCTGAATTGCAGAAGAGTAGTAGTCAAAACACAAGGTTCAGACAAATACGGCTTACTCTCAATCTTTGGATTGGAGAACAACGGAAAATCTTCTTCCAGGGAGATTATATACATCTTTTGACTTCTACAGTAATCAAGTATCAGCTCTTTCCATAGCTGCACTTGCTTTTCACGTGTTTCTCTCACAGGCTGCAAACTGGGAACAAATGTTGTCATGATATTATTATCAGTCCATGTACATATCAAAATTAGTGTTTAACAGAACTTTTCAGAGTTGGTTTTAAGATAACATACACAAAAGTTCACTTACATTACTCAAACAAATGTAAGAATTGTTAGGAAAGCAACTTGTATTTCCAGGAGGCCATACATGTACAGGTGTGGAATATATGCAGGAAACCCCTTATACAATAGGGTAAATACGAAAGGTTACATGGCTATATATATAACTCTTAACACCGCTCCTCAAACTCATGGTGGATTAACAACACTGCGCTCTAGTCTGGGCCTTCGTCAGAAAATCCGCCAACTGTAACTCGGAAGGCACATACTGAAGAGTAATAACCTGATCCTGCACACCAGCGCGCACATAGAAAGCATCAACACCAATATGCTTGGTGACCTCATGCTTCACAGGATCGCGCGCAATGCTAATAGCACCTGTACTGTCAGATAAGAGCAAAGTAGGTGTAGTAACAGAAACACCAAAATCCTGAAGTAACCACCGTAACCAAGTCATCTCTGCCGTCAAAAGAGCTATAGCTCGTAACTCAGCCTCTGCAATCGAACTGGAAACTGCAGTCTGTTTCTTCGTCTTCCAGGCAATGAGAGAACCACCAAGAAAAACACAGTAAGCAGAAAGTGAACGGCGATCGGAGGGATCACTAGCCCACGTAGCATCCGAATAGGCCTGAAGCTGTAAAGAACTGGAGCGAGGAAGAATAGACGGTGAGAGATCGTGCCCCGAAGATATTGGAGAACACGAAGGAGGTGACTATAGTGAACCGAAGTGGGAGCGGAGACAAACTGACTCAGAATATGAACCGGATAAGAGATATCCGGACGAGTGACAGCTAGATAGACAAGACTCCCAACAAGATGACGATAACGCGTCGGGTCAGGCAAGGGGTCACCGTCAGTATCACGGAGGTGAACATTGAGCTCCATGGGAGTCTCAACAATGCGCTCATTGGTAAAAGCAGCACGAGCAAGAAGATCATGTATATACTTTTCCTAAGATATAAAAAAGCCATCAAAGGTAGAAGAGACTTCAATCCCAAGAAAGTAGCGAAGAGGTCCAAGATCGGACATAAGAAACTGCTCACTAAGACGGGCCTTTACAAAGGCAATATACTCGGGGTTGTCGCCAGTTATGATCATGTCATCAACATAGAGAAGAAGAAGAGTCCGACCACGAGGAGAAAGGTGGACAAACAATGTCGGATCATGAGCACTCGCTAAAAAACCAGCGGCAGTCACCACAGAGGCAAAACGCTCAAACCAGGCGCGGGGGGCTTGCTTAAGGCCATAGACAGAGCGACGAAGACGACATACCATGCCATCAGGAACAGAATACCCAGGTGGTGGCTGCATGTATACCTCCTCACACAGCTCACCGTTAAGAAGGGCATTCTTAACATCAAGCTGAGATACAGACCAATGGCGTGCAGAGGCCACGACAAGAAGTGTACGAATAGTGGTCATATGGGCCACGGGAGCAAAGGTCTCATCGTAATCACGACCATGCTCCTGCTGAAAGCCACGAGCCACAAGACGAGCTTTGTAACGCTCAAGAGAACCATCGGAGCGAGTCTTAACCTTGTAGACCCACTTACAAGTGATGGGACGGACACCTGGAGGAAGAGAAACAAGATCCCATGTACCAGTGCGTTCAAGAGCAGCAATCTCCTCTGCCATCGCAAATTGCCATTCAGGATGAACAACAGCCTCACAATAAGAAGTCGGCTAAAGAACAGCAGCACCGGCGGTTGAAAAACCAAGGCGATCGACAGGCGGAAGCAGACAAGGACGCAAGCCATAGGTAGGCTGAGACGAGGAGGACGGCACGTCAGCAGACACATCCACATTACGTGAACGACGAGTGTAATACTGAGGAAAAGATGGAAGAGTACGAGGAGGAATAGCCGAGGTAGAATCAGGAGGTGGAGACGAAGAAATCACCGGGGATGAAGGTGCAGAATCCGGGGACATGCGAGGTGAGGAAACCGTGGGAGATGGTGGCGACAAACCGGCAAGAGGTGGAGAAGTAGAGTGAACAGGACGGAGACAAGGGCTCAACTGGAGTGATAGGTGTGTCGGGAAAAGTGAGGAAAGAGATATCCTCCACTGAAAAGGTCGAGGAAGATGGACGCGGGTAGAAGGGACGAGACTCATCAAAAGTCACATCCCGAGAAATACGCATCCGACGACCGATAGGATCCCAACAACGATAGCCCTTATGCTCATCACTATAGCCTAAGAAAACACACTCAATAGACTGAACGGTCAGTTTGGTGCGTTCGCGAGGGGCAAGAAGAACATAGCAAACACAACCAAACAAGCGAAGCGTCGAATAATCAGGAGAACGATCAAAGAGACGCTCGAAAGGAACACCACCTTGGAGAGCAGCGGACGACTAAAGGTTGATGAGATCTATGTTGCGCGGATACTTCAGAAAGCGTGCGTATCCTGTCGGATACTGCCCCGATACTCGGATACTGCCCCGATACGGCCCGATACGTATCCCGTAAGTATCCGTTGATTTTTTAATTTTAAAAAAAGAATATAATGTTTGATACTCCGGGGATACTTCTGCGATACGTTTTGGATACCTCAAACCCCTTGTTCAATGTGAAATCCCCTCAATAGTAACCGCACACCTTTTGAAAATTCCCAAGATGGGCATGAGTTCATGTCAAAACATAACTGGCAATGTTCTTACTCAATTGAGATGTGAGCAAGATAGAGACGATGCACTGATTGGAACAACAAACCTAAGAAAATCCCACTGCTAATTGATGAAAGTGGACCAAGTGCAAGAAAAGAAAGGGGGTAATCCTACTGAGGCATTCTTTGACCTGGAAGCTCCTTATTTTTTCCCTATTTTTAATAAATAATATATGTATTATCTATATATAAACGTATCCCCGTATCCATGTTTTTAGAAAATTGACGTATCGGGCGTATCCCCGTATCGCGTATCCGATACGTATCCAAGTATCCATGCAACATAGGATGAGATAGGTGGAGGTGAATATAGCCTCGGCCCAAAAATGAGGTGGAAGAGAAGCGGCGATCATCAACGCACGAGCCGTCTCAAGAAGGTGGCGATGCTTTCGCTCAGCCACGCCATTCTGAGCATGAGCACCAGGAAAAGAGAACTGAGGAAGAGTGCCTTGCTCAGCAAGAACACCACGCAACATCTTGGAAATATACTCGCCAGCGGAGTCAGCACGGAACACACGAATAGGCGAAGAGAACTGAGTGTGAACCATGGCAGCAAAACGCTTATAGATGGAAAGAATCTCACCGCGAGAAGTCATAAAATAAGGCCAAGTGTAACGAGAGAAATCATCTATGAAAATAATATAGTATCGATGGCCCCCTTTCGAAGCAAAGGGAGCCGGACCCCATACATCAGAATGGACTAAATCAAAAGGACGCTGAGACACCGACTCACTAGTAGGGTAAGGTAACTGAATCTGTTTTCCTAGTCTACAGCCCTAACACTCTAAAGAGACATCTCCTGAGACAGACCCCAGAAGACCTCGACGAACTAATGATGACAAGCGAGACCCACAAAGATGACCAAGTCGATGATGCCACTGCTGGAAGGAGCCGGTAGCTGAAGTGACAGAAGCGGATGGGACTGGCGATAGTGGTGGCAGCAAAAGGAACATGAAGCCAGTCTAGCTCCCAAAGACCCTGAGAGTCACGGCGGCGAGGGCCAGCCCCAACCAAAGTGTGCGTTCGACAATCCTGAACAGAACAAGAGTCAACGTCAAGGATGACGCGACAACCAGAATCAGTAAGTTGACCGGCAGAAAAAAGATTCATGATAAGTCGAGGAACATGAGCAACATCAGGAATAGAGTAAGAAGGTGTGGTAAGATTGCCTCGACTAGCAACAGAAAGAGGAGTACCATCAGCAGTGAGTACATGAACAGGAAAATCAAGTGATTTAAGAGAGGGCAAATTTGAAGAATGAGAAGACATATGAAAAGAAGCTCCGGAGTTACCTGACTGTGTAGAGGGTGGTTGCTCAGTGCGGGAAGCATCAGTCACAGAACCTGCAGTACCCGTCGAAGGAGAACCTGAAGCGGCAAGCAGACGCTTAAGTCGCAAAATATCCTGTAAGTCAAGGCGGTGGCTGAAGATGTCGAAGTAGAAGAAGAAGTCCCTGAAGCCGATGATCGCGCCTTACGCAGGTGTTTCTTCTTATGGAAGCACTGAGACTCAACGTGACCATCCATATTGCAGTAGCCGCAGTGAGGACGAGACCGACCCTGGCCGCCCGTAGGAGTAGGCAAGAGCGGCGAAGCACTCGAGCGGGAAGGAGTCGGTGCAGCAGGCGGCATAGAAGGAACTCGAGCAGCAAGCACAGAGGAAACCTCAAGTAAACCAGCGCCACGGAGGCGAGTCTCCTCAGCACGGATCTCAGAAAGCGCCTCCATGAGGGAAATACGACCACGAGCAAACAACTGAGCGTGCCGGGGCTCAAACTCCTTACGGAGTCGAGACAAGAACTCGTAGACACGATGAAACTCCAAATCAGCCCGCACAGCCTGGCAACACTGACAAGTACGACAACCAGCAATGAGGAGAGAATCAAGCTGACGCCATATAGCAGAACTCTGTGCATAGAACTCATCAACTGTGGAGTCACCCTGCTGAAGAGCATGCTCCTGACGAACCACAGACAGGCATAAAGCATCACCAAAGGCGGATAGCGCTGACGAAGCCGAGTCCACATCTCAAATACAGTAAAGAGGCCGGATCGGGCAACACGAGTTGGCGGGCGAACTCGAGGGCAGAAGCAGCCGGCCTGGGCGCTCGATGAGGAGAGAGCAGCGCCGCTCGGAGAAGGACGGCCGTCGCTCGGAGATTGGATCGGGAGCACGAGTTGCGCATGCGAATAAAAAAAAACCTAAGGCTCCGATACCATGTTAGGAAAGCAACTTGTATTTCCAGGAGGCCATATGCCAGTATATATACATGTACAGGTGTGGAATATATGCAGGAAACCCTTATACAATAGGGTAAATACAAAAGGTTACATGGCTATATATATAACTCTAACAAGAATTAGTAAAGCAAGGAAATGCTTCAACTGCTACACACATTGTTGGGATATGAAAGAAAGATGCAAGATCTTAACATCACATATCAAAATAGATAGGCTTAGACACTCTGAACCAAATACCATGTTATACTTTTGGGGATGCTATGAAGTAGAAATTTGCAAAGAGAGACCAATTGAAGAGAAGCTTGTCCAACATCGTCTGAGATGGTTTGGGCATATTCAGCGTAGGCCTCCAGAAGCTCCAGTGCATAGCGGACGACTAAAGCATGCGGAGAATGTCAAGAGAGGTTGGGGTAGACCGAATTTGACACGGGAAGAGTCCGTTAAGAGAAACCTGAAGGATTGGAGTATCACCAAAGAACTAGCTATGGACAGGGGTGCGTGGAAGCTTGCTATCCATGTGCCAGAGCCATGAGTTTGTCGCGAGATCTTATGGGTTTCACTTCTAGCCTACCCCAACTTGTTTGGGACGAAAGGCTTTGTTGTTGTCGTAGAGACATTTGAGTTTTAACCAACGGCAGATTCTCTGAAGAAACAAGTGCTTAAGCTTACTAACATAATTCCTTTAGTGATCCTGATCTACAAATCCTGCTTACATATTCATTCTTCACTTACACAATAACATTAACCACCCCGTGTTTTTCATTTTGAATCTATAAAATGTCATTTTATACCTTATTGACAAGCTAGCTCAGAATAAAACAAGGGATAAGAGATCAAAGAAATATTACATGATTTACAATGTACTCACATGATTATATGATACTCCCTCAGTACCAAAATATTTGAGGTTCTAGGTTTGTCCTAAGTCAAACTTCTTTAAGTCTGACCATGCATATAGAAAATATATTGGCATCTACAACATCAAATATATATAATATGAAAATATCTAATAAAACTAATTTGGTGTTTTGGATGTTTGCATATTTTAATAGACATGGTCAAACTTAAAGATGTTCGACTTAAGAGAAACCTAGAAATTAATTATTTTGGAACGGAAGGAGTATATCCGAAGTAGGAATAAATAAGTTTAACTGTTACAAAAGGGCAGGGTATAGACAAAAATCACGAACCACTTTTTTGTACAATTTGCACAGTAAACCATTGCCAAACAAATTACTCCATAGTACTGGTAAGTGGTAACTAATACTCCCTCCGTTCACAAATATAAGATGTTTTGGATATTCCAATATGGACAACATACGGACTGAAATGAGAACAAACACACTAAATTGTGTCTATATACATCATATTCAGAAAAAAGTTAGAACATCCTATATTTGTGAAGGGAGGGAGTATTTTGGAACCGAGGAAAGCAATTTCATTACTACCATATAGTACTTGGAGCTGAAGTTAACTGCACAACTTTGTTACTAGGCACTG